GGGGGGGGTTATGTCGCCTCTGGACACAGTTCACGTCTCGGACACAATTCCCAGCAGGGCTCCACCTGAGCCGCCGGTCCAGGACCCCCGGAGGACTTTTCAACCATACAGATTCCGGGGTTCAGGTTCAGTGCATCTCTAATGGTATAACTCCCGGCGTTTACACCCCTTGTAGGGCCCCGATGCCCGAGACTGCACTCCAGGGGCCACATGAAGAAATTGATCACTAGATGCAGATTTCATGGATCTGGGTGAAAACTATCCGGAGGGGCTGATAGGAGGAGCCATCAGGGGGGCCGTTGTCTTCCATAGGATTTCCATAGACAGGACCCCCCCTCCCCCATTCAGGGTCCCAGTCTTATCAGGAAATAAGAACATTTTCCCAAAATCCCGGAATAAAATCCAATGACCCTCCAGAAAGATTAAGATTAAGCCGATGACCGATCTGGGGTACCCTCCGCCCCAAATGTGGGGTCTCTTGATATTTGAGGTGGCAAAGAACCATTAGCATTACACCCGCATGGTCACCAGTTGGCCCATTAATGTAGGAAGCCAACTGGAAGAGGGGGAGGGGGGGAGTATAAGCCCTGTCAGCATTTTTTTGCCATCTGTGTCTTATTGGGGAGATTTCACTTCCTGTCCCAGAACCAAAACAGGAAGTGAGAGGAAATCCCTCCCTGGTGTCAGCAGGGTCCCCACGAATCTGTGTCATTTCCCATCTTTTCCTGTTCTGGTGACAACCCAACATTTGGGACTTTCCCTCACGTTCAGCGATAATGGTGATCAGGGAATGCGAATTAATGATGGCGGATTCAAGCGTCCTCGGACTGGTGCTCTTTATACTGTGACTTCAAGGTTTTATCTCTGTCCCCCTCCCGGAGATCTCCCCATTACTTTCTGTGTCTTTGGTTCAGTAGTCACTGAGACAGGAAGCGGGAGGAAATCCCTCCCCGTCATCAGCAGGGTCCCCCAAATCTGTGTCCCTATGTGGAGGTTTCCCATCTATTCCTGTTCTGGTGACAACCCAACATTCGGGACTATCCAGGAGACCTCCCCATCCCTTTCTGTGTCTTTGGTTCAGTAGTCACTGAGACAGGAAGTGATGGGGAAATCTCTTCAGCTGGGACACAAGCGGAATAAGACCCCCATTATTTGCAGCGTGTTTGGGGAAGGGTTAGTACCCCTGTGAGGTTGCTGCTGCACTCGGCCTCCCCATTGGAAGACCTCCCCCCATAGAGAACTATAAAAACACAACAGAGG